CCCCCCCCCCCCCCCCCCCATCCCCCCCCTTGGGGGTCTCCAGGCCCCAAACGTCAGGAACCGGAAGTGCCGGGGGCTGCGTTGCCATGGTGACACCACCTCCCCTCCCTTCCCCCACCGCGGTGGTGACGCACCCCGAGTCGCCGGGTTCATCGCTGACGTCATCGGGGCGGCGCAGCCAATCCCGTGCCGCGGGGGAAAAGGCGCGGCGGCCGGGGCTGAGCCCCCCCCTCACGAGGCCACGCCCTCTTCCAAGATGGAGGCGTGGGCGGAGCCGGCAGGTGGGGCCGCTCTGGTAGCGCCTCAGTGGTCCAGAAGGTCCCACAAAGGGGGCGTGGTCTGCAGGTGCGGCCGCTCTGGGCGCGGCTCGGTGACCCTGGCGGACCGGCGGCCACCATGGCGGCGGGGTCGGAGTGCTGCGGGCCTTTGCTCCCTTGGGTAAGGGGGTGCCGAGACTCCCCCCGCCACGACCCCTCCCCGGGGCTGTGTTACCCTCGTGGTGACCTTTGACCCTCCCGCTATCCGGGCTCTGTGACTTCCTTTGGGGCCCCCTCAGCACATGGACCCCCCCCTTTGTTCCCTGTGCCCCCCCTTGCCCTGGATCCTTCCAGCAGTGCTGACTGGGCTCTGTGTTATTTGGGGGGAGGAGGGGACTGAGCCTTGGGGGGGCATTGGGACCCCCAATTTTTCTGGGATGGAACAATTGGGACCCCCATTTTGGGGGAGGGAGGAATTAGTTCCCCATTATTAAGGGATCCCCCAATTATGAAGGTTCCCAACTATGCTGGGGTGGTTTGGTTTCTTTTTTTTGGGGGGGGTGTGATGCCAACCCTCCCATGTGCCCCCCCCCACAGCTGCAGACCTTTGACCCCCCCTCGCCCTGCACCTCCCCCCAGGACCTCACCACTGGGGTGACCCTGGCTCATGTCCTGCACTGCATGTGAGTAACTGGGGGGTGGGCACAGTGGGGCAACGCCATTCCGCCCTGGAAGGGGGGGGGGGTCTGAATTTATGTGTCCTCCCCCCACCCCCCCTTTTCCCAGCGACTCCTTGTGGTTCAATGAGACATGGCTGGGCCGCATCCAGAGTGGCACTGAGGACAACTGGAGGCTGAAGGTGGAGGGGGGGATGTTATTTGGGGAAGGGGGCACGGCATGGGGGGGACGGAAGAAGGCATGGAGGGACCTTAGATCTACCTAGGGGAGGGGGGGGGTGAGGATGGTGCTGGGGGAGGGAACTGTGGGAGGGTGGGTTTGAGGGGGGCAGTGAGGGGCTGTTGATTGGGGAGATCTAATTATGGGGGTGTTAATTTGGGGGGGCTTGTAATGGAGATTCCGACTGTTTTGGGGGGAGTTAATTATAAATAGGACCCCCAGTTGATTTAGTGGGAGGGGGTGGTAAATGATAGGACCCAGGGGTATTGTGTGTGGGGGGGGGAGGGAGGAGAAAGGGGTAATTAATTATAGGGCTAATAGTTTGGGGGAGGGTAATTGTGGGGCTCCCAGCTGGAGGAGGTTGTGTTGGGGAGGGCTATTTTAAAGGACCTCATGAATTGTATTTTGGAGGACTTAATCTGGGGAAGGGTTTTGAGGGTGAGGGTCTCATTTGGGGGTGCCTGGGAGGGGGGGTGAACCATTTTTTTTTTTTTGCCCACCAGGCAAGCAACTTGCAGAAGGTGCTACAGAGCGTACTGGAATACTGGCAGGATGTGAGTGTGGGAAGCTGTGGTTTTGGGGTGGGGGGTTCCCCGGTGGGATGGGAAGGGGGTGAGGGGGGCTCTCATCCTTGGGTCTGACCCATCTGTACCTCCCCCCTCCCCCCACAGGTGCTGGGCCAGGCGGTGGCAGAGCATCACATCCCTGATGTGGTCCTGGCAGCCCAATGTGCCGACCCAGAGCAACTGGGCAAATTGGTGCGACTGGTGCTGGGCTGTGCTGTCAGCTGTGAGAGAAGGGAAGGTGTGTGTGGGGGGGGGGAGGGGGTGCTGAACACCCCAAAATGTCCCACCCCCCTCCCCTTGCACTTCATAACCTATCCGTGCCCCCCCCCAAAAAAACCACAGAGCACATCCAACGCATCATGACCCTGGATGAGGCGGTGCAGCATGGAGTGATGACAGCCATCCAGGAGGTGTGGGGTTGGGAGGGGGGCTCAGGGTGGGTTTGGGGGTGTTGGGGATGCCCTGAGGGTGCTCCCCCTCCCCCTTCAACTCTGATTATTTATAATTTGGTTTGCAGCTTTTGGATAAAGAACCCCTGGAGGCGATGATGGTGGAGACGTATGAGAGCTTTGATGCTCAGGTGGGAGGGCTGGGGGGGGCAGATGTGGGGGGTTTGGGGTGGATGGATATAGGACAGTACCTTGCAAAGGGGATGGGTCAGGTTGGTGGCTTTCAGGACAGAACTTGGGGGAGGGGTGGAGGCAGTTTTGGGATATCGAAATGACCCCCCCCAGCACTGACAGCTCCTTTTTGCCTCCCCCCACAGTCACGGCGCTACTACTTCCTAAGTGAGGAACCCGAGGATGCTGTGGGGCCACAGCAGCGCTGCCTGGAGCTGGAGCAGCAGGTGGGTCCTAAAGCCTGAGAAGCCCCCCCCCTCTGTTCTGGAGTTGAGCATAGAACAGCCAAAGGGCTGGTATGAGAAGCTGGATTCTCTGCTGTCTCGTATGAGGGTTGAGCAGAAGCCCTATGAGTGCGGCTTGGAGGGGGTCCTGGGGGTCCCACGCTCTGAATGCTGCTGATGTGAGGCAGGTGGCAGCGCTGCTGGAGGAGAAGGGCAGCCTGGCTGAGGAGAACAGAGCGCTGCGGGAGGAGAAAGCCCAGCTGGAAGCTGACGCTGCGGGTGCTGCATCCAAGAAGCTGCAGCTGCTGCAGGCGCAGGTGGAAGAGCTACAGGAGGAAAACTACCGGTGGGTTTCCAGATGCCAGGCGTGGGGGGGGTCCACAGGGACCCCACCGGACACCGATTTTTATGACGTCTGCAGGTTGGAGAGCGGGAAGGAGGAGCTGCGGGCGCGCTGCAGCCGCTTGGAGCAGGAGGCGCGGGGGCTGCAGGCGCGGGCGGAGGAGCTCAGCAGCCTGGCTGGGGAGGCTCGGGTGCTGCGGGATGAGATGGACGCGCTCAGGTGCGCGGGGACGGGCTGACGTTTGGGTGCCGCGCACCGCCGTGCCCCAATCTGATGCCCTGCTGCGTCCCTCTCCTCACCCGGTAGGGCGTCCTCTGCCCGTGCGGGACGGCTGGAGGCGGCGGTGGAGGCGTACCGGGGCCGGGCAGCGGCGGCCGGGGCTCTGCGGCGCTGGGTGCGGGCGCTGGAGGAGCGACACGCCGGGCAGATGCGCCGGGCCAACGCGCTGCAACTGCAGCTGGGCAGGGCGCAGGCGGGCAGGGCGCAGCTGGAGGCGGCACGGCGGCAGGTGGGCGGGGCTTACGGCGGTGGGCGGGGCTTGTGGAGGAGCGGGGCTACATGTAATGAGAAGTAATGGGGTGGGCGGGGCTTCGGCCAGAGCTAAGAAGGGATGGCTGTGGGTCTGGGGGCGTGGCTACAGGGCTGGGGGCGGAGTCAGGGGTGCTAACTTGTGTGTGATTGGGGGTGTGGCCTCGACAGAGGCGGGGCCAGGTGAGAAGTAGGCGGGGCCCGCGCTTTGTGGGCGTGGTCAGGACGAGCCCCACCCACAGGTGGAGGAGCTGAGCGGGCAGCAGGCGGCGGCGGCCCTGCAGGCAGAGCGCTGGCAGAAGGAATGCCGCAGCCTGCAGGAGCGGTTTGAGGCACTGAGCCAGGAGAGGGAGGTGAGACCCCCCCCCCCAGGACCCCTCTCCCCCCCCCCACACACACATTCCCTCTTATCTCCTGCTGATCCCTCTTCCTCCTTTCGCCCCTCAGCGGCTGCTGGAGGAGCGCGATGCTCTGCGCGAGGCCAACGAGGAGCTGCGCTGTGCTCAGGTGCAGCAGAGCTGCTTGCAGCAGGCAGGTGAGCGGGGGTCCCAAGAAGGAGGGGGGGGGCACAGACCCCATAAGGGTCACTGGGATTTTTCTTCTGGGGGTGGGCGTTTTTCTGCCTGTTCCTTCTTCTGGAGGGTGTTGCCGCCATAGTGGCAGTGACAGCGATGCCAAGAACCCTTCTGGGGGTGCCACGTTGTCCCCCCTCACTCAAATTAAACCTGTATTTCTCCTCTTTAGATGCGGTGCTGGATAGGAGTGCCGCCCTAGCAGGAAACCTGGCGGCTGAAATCCTCCCTGCTGAGCTCAGGTGGGTGCCTGGAGGGGGTCCTCAAGCCTCAGAGCTGCCCTGCCTGCCCTTACCACCCCCTGCCCCCCACCCTTTGCCCCCCTGCCACCCCCCAGGGAGACAGTGGCACGGCTGCAGCAGGAGAACCAGCGGCTGCAGGCCCAGGAGGCAGCACTACGGCTGCAGCGGGACCGACTGCAGCAGCAGCTCCGCAACATTGATAGGTATGGGGGAAACAGAGAGGAGTCCTTATTGGGGGCCCACCCTCCCCGTGTCCCCATCTCTTTGAGGCCCCCCCCTCCCTTCCCATATCCACAGGTTGGAGGCTGTGAGGGCAGCAGGGCTGCAAAGGGACCCCAACAAAGAGGTGAGCAGAGTGGGGCTGGGGGTCACCCTCCCCCCATGTTGATAAAAGAGATGGGTGTCTTTGGGCCCCCCTTTTATCCCCCTAGGTCTCTAGGTGTGGAGGGGGGGCATTCAGAGCTGCCCCCCTCTTTGGGAATGCCTTATATTGGGGTTATATAGGTGGGACTGACATTGTTGCTCCCCCCCTTCCCCCCCCAAGGTCACACGGGTGCTGGAGTCCCCCCACACTGCTCCTGTCCTGCGCGCCCTCAGGAACCAACTGCAGGAGAAGGATGCTCTAATCCGGCACCTGGAGGTGAGGGGGGGGCTCAGGGAGGGGGGACTGGGGGGGGACAGAACTCTGCTCACCCCCCCTCCCTTCACCCACCCTCATGGTTGCCCACCCAGAATGACTACGAGCGGAGCCGGGCGCAGCAGGAGCGCGAGGAGCGGCTGTTGGTCACGGCGTGGTACAACATGGTATGGAGGGGGGGGGAAGTAGAGACAATGGGGGGCAAATAGAGAGGGTGGAGGGGAAATAGAGAGAGTGGGGGGCAAGAATACCCCCCTGGGAGGGTCAAATACACATTGTGGGGGCGTTCCCACACTTATCTCATGTCTCCCACCCCCTTCAGGGTTTGGCATTGCAGCAGCAGACACGTGAGGAGGGGGCCCTGGGGACCCCTCCCGGGAGTGGCCCTCACTCATTCCTGGCCCAGCAGCGTTTGGCCACGGCTGCTCGCCGTGCACGGCCCCCCCACGGCCGCCCCCCCAACCGTTGACCCCACAGGCTCATCATTTGGGGGAGTCACTTGGGGCTGCCCCCTCACCCAAGCTGGGCTGGACCCATTTGTGACACTACTGATCTGCCCCCTTCCTCTTTGGGGGGGGCTCTGCGCCCCTCTTTGGCAGAGGGGGCTTTTAGCACTTCTATTTTTGTACCCTTTCTCCCCCGGGGAAGGGGATCTCCCCACCCCCCTCCCCAATACCTCTTTTTCAATAAAGCCATGAGCTCAGAGTTCTCGGGCTCATTTCTTTTAAGGGATTACCTGGCAGTTCATAACGTTGAGCCCCAGCTTGGTGGAGGAGGGAGGGGAGGGGGGGGGTCAGCATTTTGGGCCCCTCCCACCTACACCATCTCATCTGTGGGGCGCAGGTCCCAGCTGTGGGGTGACTCCCCTGTGACGCTTCCCAGCAGCACAGCTGTGTCCCCCCCCAGGCTGTCCCCATCTCCTTCAGTGGGTGCCCCTGGGGGGGGCTCAGCCCCGTGCCCCCCTTCACAGCCAGCACTGTTCTTGTGGCGTAGGAGGGAGAAGTGGCAGCTGAAGGTGGCCATAGGGGGGTGTGGGGGGGGCTCAGAGGTCTCCCCGATATCCTCCAGTGGTTGAAACTGCATCTCCTCCTTTGCCAACCTGTTGGGAGGGGGGAGCACCCTGAAATGCACTGCAGCCTTCAGGGAACCCCCCCCAGCCTGGGGTGTGGGGGCTGCAGGAGATTTTGGGCTCCATGTTGAGGTGGGGGGGTTCCCATGGAGTGCTGGGGGGGGGCTCAAGGTTTATTGGGTGGTCTCTATTTTTGGGGTCTGGGGTTGGGATGGAGGTTTATTTGGGATCTCTGGTCTTGGGATCCCTGGGGGGGCTGTTCAGGGTCCTAGGGGGTCACTGAGGTTTATTTTGGAGGTGATCTTGGGGTTCTTGGGGGGGTCCTGGAGGAGTTGAGGTTTAATATGGGGTTTCTCATCTTGAGGTCAGGGTGGGGATTCCTCAGAGTGGGCTTGAGCTTTCTTTTGGGGGCTGTGGGTTGGATGGGGGTCAGTGTGAAGGATTCTTTAGGTGGGGTTGCTGGGGGGAGGGGACCCCACTCACGTCACATCGAAGGCAGACCCACGGAAGTTGGGCAGGCGCAGCTGGGCGGCGGTGGCGGCCGTGTAGGGCGCACGGGGGCTGGCACTGTCCCAGTAACGATCCCTCTCCAGCGTTGGGACGTCCCCATAAAGCTCATCCACAGCCAGCATGGACACCTGCGGGCACTGCCGTCCCCATCTGCCCCCAACACCCCCCCCAAAGCCCCCCAGCCCATACCTGGAAGTTACGGTCGATGAGTGTGTTGGTCTCGAAGTCGTCGTCGTCCTCCCCAAAGGGGTTGATGAGCTGCTCGGCCACCTGCAGCAGTGACAACCCATGGCTGTGCTGTCACCCCCCATGCTGTCACCCCCCCTGTGCTGTCACCCACCTTAAGCCACCCCACGTAGAAGAAGAACTGCAGGAGGGTGAAGACAGGCAGCCCCAGGTCCAGCTCGTGGCCCGCGTAGCCCTGGGCCGGGTCCAGGAACTGCCGCCCGATCAGACAGGTGGCAAAGAAGGCGTAGACTGCGATGGTCACCACCTGCAGGGTCAGCACTGCCCACATCACACCTCGTACTGCCATCCCTGTGCCCCTTTGTGGCCCCTCCGTCCCCATCCAGGTCCTCACATCCCCTCATCACTCCATGGGACAACCTCAGGTTCTGGCTGTGTCTGTGTATCCCCATACCCCCATCCATGACCCTCCGTGTCCCCATTCCTGCATCCTTTTGTGTCTCTTTGTGGTCCCTCCATCCCCATCCATGTCCTCACATCCCCTCATCACTCCATGGGACAACCTTAGGTTCTGGCTGTGTCCCCATACCCCCATCCGTGTCCCTCCCCATCCCCGTGTCCCTTTGTGGCCCCTCCATCCCCATCCAGGTCCTCACATCCCCTCATCCCTCCATGGGACAACCTCAGGTCCTGCCCGCGTCTCTGTGTCACCATACCCCTATCTGTGACCCTCCACATCCCCATCCCTGTGTCCCCATGCCCCCATCCCCATCCCAATGTCCCCACATCCCCACCTGTGTGTACACCAGGGGGACGCTGATCCAGTCGTAGTGGAAGAGGAGGCTGCAGTTGGCCCGAAATCGGTTCAGCTCCTGAAAAGGAGACACAGAACGGAAGGTTTGGGGTGGGGGTGAGGGGGGGGTCCTTTGTGGGGTCGGGTGTGTGTGGGGGGGTCTCACCTCCATCAGCAGCTTTAGGGTGCAGTCATCACGTACCCTTCCCTCGCGCCGTGCCTGCCCCGCCAGCGCCCCAAACCACACACAGGGCACCCAAAATTTGTTGTAGGGCGAGCGCAGCGCATCCAGCCGACGCCGCTCCTCCCGTGTCAGAAATCCTACAGGGACAGACCCCAGTGATGAGACCACCCCCATAACGAGACCACCCCCATGATGTCTTCCTCTCCATGATGACGACCACAGCGATGTCACTCCCATGATGTCACCCCCATGATGCCACCCCTATGACGATGTCACTCCATGACAATCTCACCCCCCCCCCAAGATGTTGCCTCCCCAGGTGACCCCCAATATCACCTCTCCACAATCC